AAAACCCCCCCAACTGTTTGTAAGTATAAATTACATTTCATTAAACACTTTTAAAAATACAGTAAAATGATGTTAAACCTTAGACTTTTACACCATTTATACAAATTCTTGTGCCAGTTACCTCCATTTTTTCGTATTGTTCATAGTCAGTTTCAACCGAATTAAACACTATCTGTAGATATGCCTTATATTGTTTGTTTAGAAAACAGAACTACTCCCTTTATTAGTGTTACTCACTTCAATTTTAGATTACAGCACCAAGGTGAGCTGAGCATAAGCAACCTTGTGATGATGATTCTTTTGCACACAGTAGCCATATGTGCACATTGTGTTTCAATAATGTAATCTAAATGTGAGTCAGGCAGATTAATCTGCGTTAATGCAGATTTTATATATAAATGTTTTTTTTGTTTGTTTGTTTTCTAAATTTAGTGTAGTGACAGTATGTCATTTCCTAACATTCCTGTGGACTAATAGTTTTATTCATTTCCTCAGAATGCCAAGTTCCAGGTGCTGACCTGGAGATCAACCCTACGCTGGAATCACTGTGCCTCAGTATGACAGAGCATGCCTTAGGGGGTAAGTGTCAGCAACTTTAAATGGGACACTGGTTGGCAAACGTGTACACAGCTTTCAGTTAGAGCAGAAGAGCAGGGGTGGACAGCCCACGATCCCCTTAACTGTCACTCCTGCAAGCTTTAAAAAACAAAATAAAACAAAAAAATGTAATCCTGTAATCCTTCTTAATCTGCAGCTTTTTTTCTTTTATTGTTTGGTAGGAAGAGCTTAAATAGATCTTTTGATATTGAAGGTTGCTGACCCAAGAACTAGTCAAATGGGAGAAAAAGAGCCCTTTAAACAAAAGACAGTGTAAAAAATGGATATACCCAGAGAAGTTTTTACTATTGTTTTTTCAGCCACAAGCTACCTTACATGCTTCACAGGGTCAAATTTTACTTTATCCGCTAATGCTAGCAGGCTTGATTAGAATGTTGCATCTATAAACTGTATGGGTGCATCTCATTTGAGGTAATTAGTGCCAAGTAAGACTAATAAAAACTAGAATTTCACTCACCAAAACTGAAATAAAAGAAGCCATAACATTTAGTCAGATAATCCACGGAAAAGGCTCCAACAGCATAGACACAGTGAACAGTAGTGGATGAGGCCTAGCAGACTTGATCAGCTCCAGCTGCCTGTGGCAGGACACCTGTCTGTCAGAGTGGCCACACCCCTGACTCAGTTATTCAAGTGGATGAGTTACAAAAAAATTCACCCCATTTAGAGTGGGATCAAAGCCAGATTGTTTTATGGTTATTAATTCTGTTTGACATTTTAACACGGGGGGGGTCTGTGCAGTGCTCTATTTGGAAGAGAAACTCGAGTAGCAATTAGAGGAACTGCACTGCCACTTCTATGTTGGCTTAATTTTTAAGCTCTGGAGGTTGCACCTGTGTTTCAACATCAGTAGCTCTGTATAATTGTCCAGTATTGTGGTTGTAAATAATTTATGAGATGCATGACTTTTGGAAAATTTTATATTTTCATTCCTTTAACTGATGCGGCTAAAGTTATGTTCTGTTTTGGCTTTGTATATCTTAAAACAAGGATGCATAAAGGGCCTGAGGGCCAGAAGCAGCATAAATCTTAATAGAAATCTGCAATCTGGATAGTATGTGTTAAATCAGTGATACTGCAAGACAGAAGCCAATTTAAATTTCATAGGATTTAGTGTTTTTAATTTTCTTAATGTTACTAATATATGTATCTAACAGTAAGTTTAGCAGCAGGACAGTGACATGCCCCTTCAGCGATGCCATGCTTATCACATTGTGATTATAAATGTAATGTACCTTAACGTGTCTCTGTTCTACCCCTCAGATGGAACAGACCGGACTTCAACAATATGAAAAGAAGAAAGGAAAAATACACTTCATTTGAGGCCTATTCAGTTCCTCATCACCCAGCACAAAGATAAACGTATGCTTCAGAAAACCAGGCAAAGCAGTCACTACAAAATGACAAAAAAACTGTGTATATGTTCTCTAATATTTTTGTACGTTATTATATACAACTAAGTTTATTAAAAATGGAATACAGATGATTATTATATTGCAGGACAGAGAAAAAAAAGGTTAACTGTGCAAACTGCTCCGTGTCACCTGCAGGACTGTGGCATGATCTGCAGAGGCTCAGTTTGCCGTTGTGAGAGAAAAACAGTAGATTGGTGCTTTCATAAAGGGGTTCCGCCCTATGAGTTACTCTTCTTTTCCTTCTGCCTTGGAATAAGGCTTTCTATCAAAAACACACTGACAGCAACAGCCTCTGCACCATATAATGTGTAGATTCTGAAGATTTCCAGCCAGAGTTAAGGCACTTTTAATAAATGAATTTTGATATTAGGCACTAAATGGTATTTGGCTCAATTACACACTTACTGAGGTTCCCCTTGTAGTCAGGTGCTGATATACAGACACCAGTATGCTTTCTAGCCACCGTAATCATTCTTTAACCTGTGATAGCTGGGGCTTTTGTTGGTTGAAACTTGGTCAGCTTTCCTTGGTTCTTTTTGTCGTCTCTAACGAGCATGTTTTTGTGTCAAAGGAAGGAGAGAGATGACCAAAAGGCTTGAAGAACAGCTTGTAATTCAACCACAGGTTTATCCTTTCTCTTGGTTGTTTTTCCCCTGAACATGTAGTCAAAATAGAAGTGACTCTCCTCCTCTAAACTTCTACCAAGCCAAAGAGAAGGGTTGTGTGACTGTCAATTTGAGAAAGACATTTATAGTGAAATGGTATACTATTTTTTAAAAAAGAACAGCGGTTTAAAGAATTTATACCAGCTGCAATTTGTCTCTGTTATTTTATGCCCTACTACATAAATGATGATGAATCTCATTTTGTGCCGAGGAATCCCCAGAGGGGTGAGTAAGGGCTGTGAGGTTTGTACTGTGTGAGAGCTGATTTGATATTGAATTGATAAAAGCAAGGAGCGCAGAGTGTTTTCAATTTACAGTCTAATGCCAGGCGAGAAAACTAAATGAAACCCATCTCAACCCTCTGGCCCCCTTATAATTGGCTTTGGAAAATGAAGCTTGATCTCATAATAAATGCTATGGAGCACAGCGCCTCACCCTCGCAGTGCCCTCTTCCTCAAATGGCCAATGTGATGATTTGATGAATCATACTTTTCAAGGTGCTTGACGATGTCCATCTTTTTTCTGTTTGTGTCTCAATGTGTTTCAGTCTCAGAACCCTAACATTATCATGTGGTATCAGTGTTGAATCAAAAACTGTCCTATACAGCCTCTGTCTGTGAATGTGGCAGAGCCGGAGGTGCATGTATGTGTAATATGGTCTTAACTTTTGGATCACTTTTGGTTGCAACATAAGACAGGGATAACCATTCAAATTATTATTTCATCAAAAATAGGAGGTCTGTCTAGTAAAGATGGTTATTTACAGATATCTTTTTTTCAATTGTATTTTTTACTCTCCCTTGATATTGATAACTTATGCTTATTTTCTATAATCGCATGTTTTGCCACACTAATACCGCACTGTTGTAGATAGAGGGCATGGTGGTTGATGGTGCCCAGTGTCACCGGAGAACAGAAATCTTGCAACTAATGTTGTATGTTTATATCGCCTAAATGTCACTGTTTACATCTCTCTGGGATGATGCCAGATTCATGTTCTGTGATGTCATGCATAATCCATTGTCTCACAATCTAACATATTAAAGAACTGAAGCCTTCTCACACCTGAGCAGGCTGGGTAGATCCCAAAAGCAAGTCTTCTACCCCCCAATCCATGGACTCCATATGAGTTGCAGTAGTGGGTTTTTTGTTTGTTTGTTTGTTTGTTTGTTTGTTTGTTTGTTTGTTTGTTTGTTTGTTTGTTTTCAAAGGTATAACTATATGAGGCACTTAACGGCTCTTTTTTTTTTGGTTTGTTTTTTGGTCATGTGGTGGTGAGAAAGAATTGTTTCTCAAACCTTGTGATTAAACTGTTTAGCTGTCATGTTCTCATAAACTGTTTATGTGGTGCCTGAAATTCTCGCTCCAGCATCCTCAGCTTTTGTTTTAATAATGGTCATGAGAAGCATTCTAGTCATAGATTTCTTCAGAGCAGGCTCTTGGGATTATCTGACTTGTTAAAAGCATCACACTCATGCCCGCAAAGGACTTTAGTGAGTTAGCAATGGTGGCTTTAAGACTTCTTTCTTTTGTTTTTAACTCTTCACTATCCTGTATACCAACTATGTTGTTGCAGATGGCTCAGATTATCCTTCTCATGGCCTCTGTTGCTTTGGACAGCCTACTTGTTACTTCAAATAGACACAGAGGTACAGTGCGGCAGATTTCTACAAGAGTGTGTGTGCGTGTGTGTTTATAAAGATGATGCAGCAGGGGGGTGACAATGCTTTTCTGAGCCACATAATCATGATGTGATTATGAGTAAACTGAACACTAATAACTGGCCAAGGAATATGTTTACTCCATGTTTACATTCCAAGATGCGTGATATTAGTTGAGAAGTGCATGTATTAGTTTCAGGCTGGTGTATTTTAACATGCCACGCACCCACTACGGAGGTACAGAGCCTGTGTCGCATGGAGACGTCTACCAAGTGGTCCTGAGACCATGTTCATGTCCCAGCATGGCTTTATTATTGAATTAATGTAGCCCACCAGCTGCATATATCTATCTTGTACCAGTTATATTTAATTCTAAAACTCTCCCCCAACTTTTTCTAATGTTTTATGAACCTTTTTGCATCACATGCTTACACTCTACTTTTTTACTGTCACTCATATGTGAATGGTCTGAAATGCAACATCCGTCGGATCATTGACAGTCCAAATAAAGAGGTTCAGTTCTTTTGCAAATTAACTTGTGGTCTGTGTTTGTGTCTGGTTTTTTTATTTTATTTTTTATATGAGGCTTCGGGAAACTCGTGAGTCGCTTTTAAGATGCTCTTGTGTTGAAAGAGTGGCCGCATTGATACCGCAGAGTACGTTTTAACTTCCGGGTTGCGCGGTTCTCGCAGTTCATCAAGCTAATGCGAGCTAGTCATCTCGCTGTTAATAACGGCTTTAGTTTAAATAAGAAGAAACAACGTCTGTTTGGTCTGGGAACTTGATTACAACTTCTTAGGTATGTTCAACATGTGTGTTGTGGCCGTATAAGCCCGATGTAAATGTCTGTAGGCAAGGCAAAGACCTTCCTACCGCAGAAAAGTAGAGTTAGCGGATGGCTAGCTGTGCTTAGCATGTATCAACACTGAACAGCTGTCGGCTAACAATGTTAGCTTGTTAGTTCTTGCTTAGTGTATTTCACGCTGCATAAATGATTAAGTACTTAATTTGGCTGGTAAATTTACATATTTAACGACGATTGAGGTCGGCTCAGTTGTAGAGTTACAAGTTCGTAAATCTTTACTTTTAAGTCGATCATCCCCGGTGTCTCGATAATAGCGGGTGGTGTGATTTGTGAGGACAGAGCTCGATCCCAGATAATACTGCTGCCCCTGGTCGGTTTGTTAAAACTGAAACAGTTTTAACATTTCTATAAGTTGCCGAGACACTAACGTTAAAAAAAGTTTGTTGCTGTTTAAGAATGGTATAAAGCTTTGTTCATAAAACATTTTCAGAAGTTGTGTCACAGAGTGCTTTTCAAGACACCTAATCAAATAAAAGGAAGCCTAACGCAGGGAAGAAAAAGTGGGTGTTTTTACCATTTGTCAACCTTCATGTGAAGTTTAATATCTAAATGTTTCTAAAAGCCAGCTCCTCTAACAAGACAGGACATAAGACATGGGGGCAACAGCTGGAGCCTAATTGAATTAAACATAAGAAAATCTAAACATGGGTGTAAAAATGAAAGCATGAATTACAATCCGAAATAATCACTAATATTATTAAAATGATTTATCTGTCATTCTTTGTTTAATTTATCTTGTCTATGCTGTACATAGCGGGACAGCCACAGAAGTACATTCACAAAGCCCCTGGAAAGCATTGCTAACCGTGGCCAACAAACGTGAACTTTTTCTGCACCACTTCAGATGTCAAAACAATCTTAATATCGCAAGCCCTGTAATTTTAAAAAAAAGTATATTATTATTACCTTTTGGATTTCTAGCAAAAAAGGGAGCCACTTTGAATTTTGCTTGAAGCTGTGAGCAACAAATAAATAATTAAATAACTTTAGGTTTGTGTGATATTTTTCACCTTGTTGACCACTCAAAGTCTTAAGAATTGCCGCAACTCTGTTATTGGAAACAATGCAATGGATTTTGCCTTGTGTTGCTGTACAAACTGCATAACAACATAATTTCTAGTTTACCTTCAGGCATCTCTTTCTCCACTATGTTCTGCAAAGGGACTGCACTTGTTCGACAACAGTCCATTATCAGCCAACCGATTCATTGGCTCTATTTAGATGATCTCTGATATCAGTTCTGCTGAAAGCTGTGATATGCTAAAATTCACTCTGGACATAACATTTTTACAGAAAAATCAGAGGTCACAAAACTTAGAAAGCAGTTTAGCTCTTCAAAATTTGTTGTTAGTACTTCTCCTTTAGTTCCTAAATCATGTGTTGTTATGTGTTATTTGTATATTCTTTTGTAATAAAGTTTTGTAATATGTATTCTACTCCCAGTACGGACAACTCTGTGTACTCATCTGATGTCATAGAAACTCAAGATTTCTTAATGTTAAAAAGACTCTCTTGTGCAGTCTAACAATACCATAAACCAACATTTGGCCTGTATAGTTTTTTCCTCCTCTTTTCTCTACCTAAGATTCAAGTCTGAGTAAAAAAAAAAAGGAAAGGAAAAAAAAAAGAACTGTAGATTAATCAATAATGAAAATGTCAGTCTCGGCTCTAGGGTCAACACCTTTCTAAAACAATTTAAACAAAAATAAACCTTAGATTTCAACACAGTGAAATTCTGAGAAGTGCTATTGTGTTGGATTGCATCAGTTTTATATGAGCATTTGAAATAAACTGGCAACAAAGTGTGCGCCACCAGAATTTTGACATTATGTTATCTATAAATATTCCATAAGGTTGAAGCTGAGCTTTGAACAGAGTTTTCTTTTTTGTTTTTCAGGCATTGTAAAGTCTGTATGGCCACTATACATGGATGGTGAGAGTGACATGTCAGGATGTGGATGGAAATCATTTGCTGAAAGATAACTGTAATTAGCTGTTCCTTGGAAATTTCCTGGATTGGTGAAACTGTCTCCACATATTCCGTCATGTCATTACCAAAGGAGTCAGGGAACCGAGGAAAAGATCGAGAGAGGGGGGCTCGTCCCAAGGTGAGACAGAGCCGGTCAGAGGAGAGACGAGATGCAGGCGGTGGAAGGAAAGGTGGAAAGGGGAAGAAAAAAGGCCTTTCCTCCCACGACGCTGCGGCTGAGCGACCTGTCAGTGATGGCTTTGAGTATGGTGAGCTGTTGAGTGAACTGGAGACCAGAGACCAATCTTCCCCTTCCCCTCTGAGGGATAGTTGGAGATGGCAGGGCTTTGAAGTAGCTGCCTCATTACTAGGACAGGAACGAGTAACAGCAAGACCAACTCTGGGAGCGACTGGCTCTGCTGCAGAGTTACCCACATCTAGTGAAGGTGAGGGGAGAGGGTCAAGCAGCAGTCGCACTCTCAGGCAAAAAATCCAAGATGCAATGGGGCAGTGTTTCCCAATAAAGACACACACTGCAGCGGCACCAGCTCCATTGCCGCAGGCTCTTTCATCATCAAGTGCCTGTGGCTCTTCGAGGCGCAAGATCCATCTCAGTGAGTTGATGTTGGATGACTGCCCTTTCCCTGTAGGATCAGAGCTGGCTCAGAAATGGTATCTCATTAAACAACACACGGCCCCCATTACCCAGCCTCCCCTGCTAGATTCTACAGTAGTGTGCACTGCCCCAACTTCAGCCATGGCAGTTGCAGTGGAGGATGTGGATGACCGATTACGAGAGCGCAGGCGCATCAGCATTGAACAAGGGGTTGAGCCACCTCCCAATGCAGAGATCCACACATTTGAGGTTACAGCCCAAATTAACCCTCTCTACAAGCACGGCCCAAAGCTGGCTCATGGTATGAATGACTTAGCTGAGACTGACAGAACCTCCGTCCATCAGCAACAGCAGCTTCTTCTCCAAAGACAGCAGCAACACCAACTCCTCTTACAGAGCTGTTTGGACACTCTGGATGAAGTTGCAGCCTCAGCCTCTGCATCAGCCTCTGTCCACACCTGCGACGCTGTCTCCGACGCTTTGGTTGACCCAGACATAACTGCGACCAGCATGACCTCTGGAGAAATTCTTCCTCAGACTGAGCATCACAAATCTCACGATAGCTACCGCATTCACACTCAGATTGATTACATTCACTGTTTAGTTCCAGACCTGCTGCAGATCACAAACCTCCCATGTTACTGGGGAGTCATGGACCGCTACGAGGCAGAGACATTGCTGGAGGGAAAGCCTGAAGGCACCTTTCTACTGCGGGACTCTGCCCAGGAAGACTACCTCTTTTCAGTTAGCTTCCGCCGCTATGGCCGCTCACTACATGCACGTATTGAACAGTGGAATCACAACTTTAGCTTTGATGTTCATGACCCCAGTGTCTTCCACGCGCCCACAGTTACAGGACTGCTAGAGCACTACAAGGATCCCAACTCCTGCATGTTCTTCGAGCCCCTCCTGTCCAACCCCATCCACCGCACACAGCCCTTCAGCTTGCAGCACATCTGTCGAGCGGTCATTAGCAGCTGCACCACCTATGATGGCATTAATATGCTTCCCATTCCAAATGCTTTAAAAAAGCACCTGAAAGAATACCACTATAAACAAAGAGTACGTGTACGGCGAATGGATACCTGGTGGGAATGAAAAACAACAAAACACTGACTTAGAGAAACTTCCAAATACATTTTTAATGCAAGTCTCACTAAACTGAACTGAGAAGTGAGTCTTATTCTTCACTCCGTTTGGCTGTATTAACCTACACCACACTGTACTTATTTATTATATTCCTGCTGTACAGGTCTTAACAAATTGTACTAAACAACACTGATGAGGCAATATGTAATCTCACTGTTCTTGCACATTCAGTTCTTTATCCTCAAATTAAACAGACTTATTTAGATGTGTGTTGTTCACGGCTATCCTCACATATCATCTGTGTTTTCAAGTGTGACTAAATCAGCTTAATTATCTAACGATGGGGGGGGGAGAGTCCTAGAGTGAAAGGAGATGATTATAATCAAGTTGTTCATCAGTCACGTGCTGAGAAGGTGAAACACGCACTGACAAGGTTTCTTTCTTGTAAGTGAGGTGCTGAAGTACAGCACGTCTGTGGTATTAATCATAATTGCCTACATAGCCCAGGGCTGATCATAAGGGATGACAGTTAGGTGCATATGCTACGTGGTCCTATTAAAGATGCAAAGGCTTGTCACTCACTGGATTTGATAATGTGCTCACATTAGTTTTGAGTTTAATTTTTACTTTTAACTGCAATTAAAGACTAACTAACATCCTGTGGTATCAGTCCTGTCTTTGCTGCAGTTATGTACAAGTCTGCTTTCGCTGGTGGGTGTAACTCCCGGTGCTTCTAGTGGAGACACTGGACGCAGTGAAACTAATTTGAAAATGTCCTTCTTCCAGGGAGTGAAGTAAAACACTCCATTTTCTTTTATACCTTTCTTTAGCACAGTGTGAGATATATATATATATATATATTTCCCCCAAGTTTATTTTAAGTGTGCAAGTCTTATACTCAGATTCTAAACCTTTCAGCTTCAATCCTAAACTGTTGGTTTCCCGTACAGTTACATTGCTGCAGTCAGTGCTGGCAGTCTTCATTAGTTTAGTCAGGATTACATGTGGCTCGCATGAACCTGTCAGCCGCATTGTGATCAGAATGTAATTATAAAGCCCTGCGGTTTATGTACCTTATTTTGCCCAAACTCTGACTTTTGTGCATTTCCATAAGTCTGGAAGTTGAATCTGTTTTATACATTTTTTCCCTATGCATCTAATTGTGATGTGAAGGGAGAAAATTGATCTTGTTGCTATACTTCCTGCTGGGTGTATTTGAAAGAGGTAGGGTGTCTCCACACTAATCTTCCATTCCAGCAGTTCAATGACAAAATTACCATAATGAAGTAGCACTGGTGAATCTTAATTAACAGGGAGAATGATGGGAGATGGAATGAATTTGAGCTTTTTTCTGAGCTGACGTGAAGTCAGTTACCAAGACAAAAATCAGTACGCTCTAAAAGCTCTGCAAAGACAAATCAGTCCTAAACTAAAACCCTTAAGGTGCTCAAAAAGGGAACAGTGTGTAAATCTACATGCTGGGGAAGAGTAGGGTCGTAAAGGCTATAGTGTAATAAATAAAATACAATGCTATGTGATGCATCTGTGTTGAATGCTCAGAAACACTGAAGTTTAAACATAAAAACAAATCACCAAAAAATGTCTTGTCTTCTCATCAGAATGTAAAATTTTGCTTTATGTGTGTTGAGTTGAACATACACAATCCGTACTATCTGTTTTATTAATATTACCTGACTAAAATAAACACATTTATGTATAATTCTGTCCTGAGTTTGCATATGAGCACTGCAAATCTCGCAAATGAAGTGTTTACACATTTACGTGTTTAAACTTCCAATTACCAAAGCAACGCAGAAAGACTGAAGCTTTTCACGCAGGTCAGACTTATGTGGTCAGTGACATATTTATGACTTATTTTGAGAGTAATTCCAAATTCTTACCCCTGCAGGGGAGTTATTCACTCCTCTGTGTGAACAGCATTTTGTATTAATGAATACACAGAAGAGACACCCCCACTGCTAATTGTTGTGTGCACTAAGTAATGGTAGTCACAAAAGCCAACCATCCCAGTTTTAATGGGAAACCATGGAGATGGGACCTAGTTCGTCCTTTGAGCCACTGTGATGTTGTTTTCTCCCTGAGATGGCTCATTTGACATGCAGAATGTAAATCATCCATGACAAGCACTCATCCAATAATGAGGCTGCTATTATTTAAGCAGCAGTTCCAATGCATCATTAAAGTCTGCATTCAAAATGCAAAGTCAGAGCCTTTGACCTTTGTGTACTTAATAATTAAGTCACCATAAAAACTGAACAATAAAATGAGTGATGGAAGACATTTGACCTGTCATGCATACACAAGTGTGGGCTACACCAGCAATTTGAGTCCCTGAACAGCTCGAGGTTTGTGCATCTTCCACCAGTATGCAAGACTCTGCAATCAGGTATTCATGGCAGAAATAATCCAATAATAAGATGGGTTTTTTGTGTCTGTGCAACATATTCCCATAGATTTGCGTAGCTATAAAGAACTGTAACCAAATTCATATATGCATTCCTGGAAAGCAATTTTTAACAGCTTGCTAATTATTACTTATGCTGGCACCCTTTCAGTCAGCATTTACAATGAGTTTCCAGCAGAGCAGATCAGCTAAAGATGCTAAATTTTTAAAATTTGTTTACAAGCAAGCATACAATTCAGCATGCATTGTTTGAATATGTAAGTTGTCAATGCGATACCATTTAATTGTCATTAAATACAGCTAAGCAAGCTCTTTATTTACCCAATAAATGCAATAATTCTATGTAGAGATTATTAGGAAATTACAGACCTGCAAAATAAAGAGTTGCCATTTTATTTTATAATTGCTATTAAAGAAAAAAAAAAATACCAAAGATAATTTCAGTTAGTTCAAAATGCTGTATTACTGCAAGCACAGCAGGTGGCTGTAAAGAGCTTCAGTGTGTTCCCCCCTGGCTCCTCAGTACCGTGTGATTTGTGTGTGGTGCATTGAGATGGAGGGATTGAGTTAGTTTTTTTTTTCAGCTGGCAGCACGGTGGCACTCATCATGCAGGTATTACAGGTCCTGGGGTAAAAAGAGGACTTTTCTTTCCCTGGATCATGAGGCCCAGAGGGATGGGATGCTCAAGCAAATCAGAAAGCTCATTGGCTACACATACTTAGTGTGTTTGTGCCTGTTTGGACCCGTTTTCCTCTGAGCCTAATCTCTACAGTTGAAAATCACGAGGGTGGAGAATAAGCTTGGGATGTTCATAACACCTGGGGACAATTACTTTCCCAAATAATCTGCCTGTCATAATCTAACAAAAGCTCAAAAAAGAGCTTGATATGGCACAGACTTGGCTTATTCAGCTAAAAACCTGTAGCAACCTTAGGTTCCAGGGGTTGTTTTTGATGTGTTTGTTTTAGCGTGCAGTATGTAAACCCATAGATTTAAAACTCAACTACCATGAGATGTGGCGTGATCTGCGCCATTAATTCAGGGGAGGGCGTATCAAACTGATTTGGAATTCTTGCAAGATGCAAACAGCTAGACATGATCCTCCTTATCCACCCAGAGAGGAAGAATATCTTTCTGTGACTGAGAAACACCGCGGTTGCGAGAGTTATTTTTGGTCAGTAAACGAATCCAGCTGAATCTCAACCTTGAACATGAATCAGTACATTCCTGTCTATTCTTGTCAAAACCAAGTAAGTAATTTGTGAGTTATTAAAGTGTCAGTTCTTAAAAGTCTTGCAATTCCCCCTCAGGAGGTACATTGTCACACAGTGACATGCGTACATTTGATGTTTGTTTCCCTGGAAGCAAACCTTTGACAGCACATTATTTTCTTTCCTACTTATTTAAAATCCAAATGCACTCCTGCTTCTCTCATGCATGTATTGGAACTCTTGTGAGGCCTTTGCTGCAGAAAAACATCAATATTCTAATTTAGAGCTGTTTGTGTTCTTACTGCTCAGTCTCTTGCCATTTTTATTCTCCTTTGCGCTGTCAGATTGTTGATGGAATAATAGGGGTGTAGGGCATTCCACGACTAAGCCCAGAGAGATACTACACAGATTGATGAGATTGCAGGGTAAGTGACACCTGACAGTCTACATCCCAGCCTCCAACCTGTGAAGCTCATAACTAACACCCTGGCATGTTCTAAGGATGTTCCGAAGTTTTAATCAACAGCTTGTAAATTAACATATTATTTAATTTAGCATCAAAATATAGTTGTAATGTGTATCATAATGTGTTTGTACAAACTGTAATTGACACAAAGATAAGGCAAATATAATTATAGATAAGCATTGTTTGTTCTCAGAAGATGGTTAATTACAATAAGCCTTCACAATCACTGTGAAAAGGCCCATGCATCATTGATAGAACGTAGAGAAAAAATTATAATTGCATAAATGATACATTACATTGCATAACACCTGCTCTGTGACTAATTATGCTGTCGCACAGTGGCTGCAATGACCAGTAGAAAAAGTTCAAGCGATAAAAGGAATGTGTAGACCTCAGTAGCTGGTTGTTATTTTATTTTTTTCAAAGTCATTTCTCACATCGGGCTCCTTTTGGACCCAGTGATATCCAGCCTGTTAATGTACTGTCAGTGAACGGACAAGATTAATTTACAGGAAAATACATTTGTGGAGGACAGAAACCTAAAGTATATGGCCTTTATGCTAATCATTCAAACTAATAAACACCACACTACTGTGCTAAAGTTATTAAAGAACCTTTCTTCATTTTATATAACATTTCTAAGTAAGTTTACGTTAATTATGCATTGTAAGAATAAGTCATTTGTCACTGTCTTTTATATTTGTTTTGTTTTGGTCCCTGTTTGATTTGCTGGTGCTGTCTCTGTCATGGTTCCTCTAGTTTTGGTTTTACTTGTTGCAACCCCTTCCCCCACCTTTTGACTTTGTTTGTCCGTTTGGCTCTTGTTTCTCTGTCCTGTTCCCTGTGCTCCTTTGTCTATTCCATAACTTTTATATTTCCATTTTTACTGCTTTAAATGCAGTGGGGTGTGTCACCTGTTGTACGTCTTCATTGGCTATTGAGACTTTAATTGTCCTGCATTTGGTTGATGTCCAGCATAACTCTAAATACACTGTATGTTAGACATCTGTTGTAAGTATTACAATACTATTGGTAAAGTATTACTAAATCAAATTTACTTGAGTTCTGGCATGCTCTGCTCTTAATATCATTGCATAGAGTACTAGAATAAGAAAAGCAGCTATGTACAGTTCAGGCATCATTACTCTTTGTTAATGTATTCATTCAGTTCATCTACTTTCTTGCTTAATTGAGTACTATTTGACCTTCTGCCTGTAGCTGCAATATGGTTTTATTTATCACAAGAGATCTAGCCTACATATCAGCCACATATTATAAAGGAGAAAAAAAGGGCTTCAAAAATATTTCCATTTCACCCACATGCATCACTTCTGTCTGTTGCATTTATAAGAGCAGAGGATGAACTGTGCCTGGCTTTACAGTTAGAATTTGTTCACTGTAATCATGTAGCAAATATGACTTGTGACCAATAATTAGACATAAGCTAATCAAACAAGAACTTGACACATTAACTGCTAAATGGGCCCGAAAATGAGACAGATTTTGATAAATGACAGATCAAGACATGTGGTCACTGAGCCTTGATATGGCAC